AGGTAGCAAAGAGGAGGCCAAGTATTGCTCAATGTGCATAGCATAACTTTTTTTAAATAAAAAGGGCATAAACAGCTTTGGCTTTTTAGTTTAGGTGGAAGAAACACTTCTGTTTCTATCATGCAGCAGAAAAAATGGCTTTATTGTTACAGATCTCTTTTCTTGTAGTCTTAAAGGCAGAGTGGACCATATTTATTTAGTTAGGTCTATACTGAAGAGGGACTTCAGGTATGCAGTTGGAGAGTTACGGGGATTTCCACAACACTAAATCTACAATGTAAATAAAAGATGAACACCACAGGCAGAAGATGAGAAAAATAAAAGGTGTAAAGATAGATAAAGTTAGATAAAGCAAGCATTACAAAAGGGAGGTAATCTATCATCTCACAACGGCCAAGGCACTAACAGTCAGAACAACAGAAATTTCAGATTTCTAAGTGCTGGTGCATGTTCGTAAGAGCTACTTATACATTGTTCTGGAGGGCAAAGACAGGTTGCAACAAAAATACTAATTCTGCTAATATGATTCTCCCAGTCAGGCCACGTTCAGGCCCAAACAGGGAATAATCTTGGTTTGTTCATTAGCTTTCTAATATCTCACATCATAGTACATCTCAAAACGATTTCCAAAATCAGAAATGGATGCCTAATAGAGAACCTTTTGAGTCACACAGCACATGCAGACAACCGACAAAAAACTGTAGTTGTATCTCATGGTACTTTCTGTTAATCACCAAAGTCAAATATTCTAAACTTGTAACTGAAAACCCTTATCCCCTTTTTATACTAGAAACCTTAAAGACAGTGCAGTGCAGTAAGCACGCTGAGTTTCTCCAATGCTTTTTCTCAAAGCACTCAGTGTTCGACAGCTCTAATCATCTTGATTACATTTTCTGTCATAAGTCAGTAATAAGGCTAAAATTTTATTTTATTACTCTTCCTCTGCTACCAATAAAATTTCAGGGTCAAACTCTATCTCTGGGCATGTGTACACAACTTTCACGCCCATTTACTTCAAGGGTCACGCCCAGAATTTGAGTCTCTAATGGCTTTTATCTACTAATTCTTAAACGTAAGAGGCCCATAAGCAGAAACGCAGCCTAAAAGACAAAAGATAAATTTAGCCCTTAGAAGATCTGAACTGGCTCAGTATGCATCTGACTCAAACTCTTCCTAGTATATTATTAAACACAGCTGATGATAACAGAGGGAGGGGGAGAGGTTTCCCTACTGTTACCATTAATAGTACAGTCTAAGCAATAGGGCTTGCATCTGCATGCTGTCATGATGGGTGCACGCACAATAAATGAAATCACGAGTTATTTTGTCTCTCAAAAAAACCCTTAAAACGTCATCAGTAAATTTGGTGCGCTCTTCAGACACGTCATTTTCAAATCCCCTGCCTACTAACTCGATCGCAGCTCATTAGTGATGCAACATTTCATTAATTTTGTTTGAGGACTTCCAAAATCCAAAATCTAAGATGTACTTATGTATATGCAGCAAATAAAAAGGAGTTAACAACCCTCGTGCTTGCTGAAGCTCAAGTTTTGCTACTGGTAGCCTGCCCAGTATACATGCACTGCTATTGCTCAGATTTCAAATTTTTAAAGAATGGTAAAATTAATACTGATTTAGGGGAAAAGAGAGGGAAGAACGGAATCAAGGGAGTGTGACCATGTCTGTGAATGGCTGGATGACAAGCAAGGTAATTTGGAACTTTCAAAAGGATCCAGCTAGCAAAGATAATGCAAAAAACAAACAAACAAAAACCCCAACCCAAGGGCAAAGAACTGAGCAACACTAATACTTTATATCCACAACATATGTTCTAGCACGTGGCTTAGTATATAGAAAATTCTTATGAAAAAGTGTCTATGTCAGTTACTTACCATACATGCAATCCTAAACCAGGACTTAAAACCCCTTTCTGAGGAGAGTAGTAGTGACTTTAACTCTTTTCATTACCAGAGAGCAGACATGTACTGTGTTCCTGCAGTTTTATTTCAGTAGATCAGGGAGGATAAGGAGGTCTGGAACAATGCATTTAGTCCCACATAAAGAAAAGCATCAAGACAAGCAGGTTTAAGGAAGTCCTGGTAAGAAGTACTCAACGACATCTGCTTTTTTTTTTCCCCAAAGAGAGCACAATGTGCGATCAACATTAAAAGATAAACACAATTAACAAATACGTATTCTAAAACCTTTCCATTTGCTGTTCCACAGCATATTTGCATGGGAGGGGTGTGAGAGCGTGTGTGGAAGCACCATTTTAATGCAAACTAACGGTCAGCTTTTAATAATAAAGTATTATAATACTTTGTATTTCATCTCATTGAACATCAGAAAAGACTTAATTAAACCTCAAATACCCCTACTGATTTAAACAGGCATTTTACCACTGCTGAGGTACAGCCACTTTGGGTGAGCCACTGCAGCCAATTAGCGCAACAAATGCTTTGATGTTACAAAGCAGTTTTGCATGACATTACTCTGCAGTACAGAAGAGCTGTCAGCATGCGAATAAGGGAAAAAATTCCACAGGCTTTAACAATGAAGCCCGTTTTCTCAAAATATCCATTTTCTCTTAGCTTGTTATTACAGTGCTCTGAAACCTACATGAGAGGAAAAAAATCTTGGTGGTATCTTCTTCTCAACTCACAGATAATACAGAAATGTCAAGAATTTACTTTAAATTTCTGCCTCCGTTGGCATTTTAAGCCTAGTTTTAATAGCTAGATGACAATAAGAAATTACTGTGGTACTGTAAATCAGAAGGAAATACAAACAAATTTTGATGAAATCTATGGAACAAACTGGTCTGGAGATTCAATTTCCCTATGAGTCATATGCACTTGACAAATTCAGATTCGCAAGAGATTATGGTGACACTGTTGGTTTGTTTGGGGTTGTTTTAACAACAAAAACTCACTGCAGCAAGCACAGTAACACTGGTTTTGAAATACAGTGTTAGAATATAGAAAGAACAGGGCTTACTGGTATTCAGTGAAACTGCAAAAAGTGACAAGTCACAAGTGGGAATTCTCTTAGTGTGTCCACGATGGGAACACCCAGCTGAACCCTCTCTGTTTTCATTACCGTATTTTTAAACTCTGTGTTTAATAGCAACACTCCAGTGTGCCAGAGACCATTTTGAAGTGCAAATAGCTCTACTTTTCATATTGTAAAATCAACTAAAATCTGGTAATTTCCAGGAATGTACATCTGAACATATTTCAGTGTCTAACTAGACTTTTCAGAGTTTGAAAGTGTAATGACAGGGCTGTTTCGCAGCTTCTACAAATGTACACTCACACAATGGCGGAGGTTGGAAGGGACCTCTGGAGCTCATCTGACCCAACCCTCCTGCTCAAGCACGCCCAACTACAGCCAGCTTCCCAGAACCATGTCGAGACAGCTTTTGAATATCTCCAAGGAAGGAGATTTCACAACCTCTCTGGGCAATCTGTTCCCCTGCTCAGTCACCCTTGCATTAAACAACTGTTTCCTCACGTTCAGAGTGATCCTCCTGTGTTTCAGTTTGTGCCCATTGCCTCTGGTCCTGTCACTGGGCACCACCAAAAAGAGCTCGGCTCTGTCTTCATTGCACCTTCTCTCCAAGTATTTATACATATAAAAATATGCACCATACATGTATCCTATCTTATATGTATCTTACAGGTAAGACACATACCAGACACCATACACAGGATCTCCAATTCACACCTAAGAAAATGCCATCCTCGATTTCTCAGAAGTGATTCTAAAATCTGATTTAGGGAACTATCCAGCACCTGCCATATAATAACCTAGGCAGAAAAAAAATTGCTTTGTCTTAAAATACTCTTAAGCTATATTAGAACTTGTTGATGTTCTTAACATATGCTGAAAAACATTCTAAGATTCATTAAAAAATCAAACAACTTTTCAGGTAAACTTCTAAAACAAAGGTAAAAACCCTAGGAAAAACCATAAGAAAGCATGACCTAATTTATTTATAGAAATAAGAGTTTACAAGGAAAAATGAAACGATAAATTAACATGGAAAGGAAAAAAAATCACCTTACGTAAATCATACCTTTATACTCAGCCCAACTCCTCTCTAATGCCATCAGCATCAGCCATAAATGCTGATAACTTTCTAATTTTAGATTAGCCAATTTAAACAAAACTAAAGTGAGAATTTACCACACTCACTGATTTTAAACACCACAGGGTAACCATCAAACCCAACCAAGACTGATATCCTCAGAATTTGAAGGCATAACTTTAATTTATTCCTACTGCAACTTCTCTCAGTACAAAACGCAGTCTTTATCGAACACGTTCTCCTTTAAATCTGCAGTAAGAAACAAAAGGCAAGATCAAGAGGATTTTTTTCCCCAAACATCGGTAACCATTTCCTTCTTCAATCTGCTTCCTTGTAAGCAACAAAGAACCTGCCCCAAAGCTCCAGCCTCTTAAGAGCACATCAATATTGGCTTAAGTGATATAATCCAACCGTACAGCTTTCCCTTCTCCTACCAAAGACGTCAACAAAGAGCCGAGCCTACAAGCACAGACGGAAACTTCAAAGCCAGCAAACACTGCTCCTACTCAACTCAGCGAAAGGCACGACAACAGCCTATTTAATAAACTCTCACCGATCCGGTCATGGGCAGTCACAACCACTGTTTTGGGTGGTTTTTTGAGTGCACGAGACGGTTTTATTCATTTTTTTTTAAAGAGGGTGAGTGACTGGGGAGAGCCTGCCACACACCGAAGATGGAGTCACGAGGCGATGAGAGGTGCAGGACCACCGGCCCCCACCGGCCCGCCCCCCGCCGCTGACAGCACGGCGACCGGCCGGAGCCCAATTCCCCTCCCACCCGAGGCATGGAGGCTGACAAAGCACAGCCCTGCGCTCATTCCCCAGCCGTGCCACCGCTGCTCCATGCCCGAGCAGCACTCGCGCACATCCCGGCAGGCAAACAAGTAACTCGGACACGCACTCGGCGTACCTCGTTTATGCAACTCCCTGAGCGGAATGCCGTCGCCTCCCCCGCCGTCGTAGGGCAGATAG